TCTGTTTGTTTGTTGATTCGATAGGAAATGTGTTTATTCTCGTAATTTTCGATGCTGGGAGGACTAGATATTCTCTTTTTCGGATCCTCAATATGCCAGTATCAGAGAATTATAAAGCCATTGTTACATAATAGAGAATTATGAAGTCATTGTTACAAGGCTTCGGTTATTAGGAATACTTTAGCTAGTCACTCGTCGGCACAAGAACTCTGCGGCAGAAATATGCGCAGCTTTCAAACTATTGGCTTCGAAGAAAACTGTGTTTCGAATGACCGAAAATGTGTTTTCGCCTACTACGGAAGTACTACAACATCCAGAAATTGATGTAAAAACATCATTGAAGGTAAGGTATTTTGCTGAACGCTTTTTTCTGGTGTGGGTCAAGGTTTTTTTTTATCAATTAGGTTTGTCTATCATCGTTTTCCGCTGATGATATACGGAATGCAGTTCGTGTCACGTTAGAAACGCTCCAATTGGGGACGCTTTCTCAACTTATCATATCGTTTCCTTATGACGAATCAGTGGTAGGTCGTTGGTCCGGTTCTCTTTGTTCTTTTTTTTTGCGTCATTCTTCCTTCCCTTTTTGTTTGGCTTGTGTACAACATTCTCTGATCACGTCTCGTGCGTATGCTTGATTAGTGCACCGCATTCCAAGTCAGTAAACATAGACGAAGTCGGTCGAAATGACCGTTCACTGGGTATAAACGATCATATGTCTGCATTTTGGACTACGTATTCTGTGCATTTGCACGTATGTGTCTATTCCTTTGAATATGGGAACTATTACTGTTAATAGTTTATAGAAAAAAGCTGTATTCCTTCTCACAATCGGTTTCCAGAACTAGTCCTATTTCTCTTATTTTAAGGACTTAACAGATGATTCTTGGCTGCAAAAGGTTAAGACCATATGGGCAGCTGCTGAGGACCTAGTGGAAAAGGATGTTGTTCATACAATAGGTGAGCTTTGTTGCTTCAACGGTAATGAGTAACCTCAAAGTAAATTTTTTGGTATCTCATAGTCTGTCCAATTCTCATTTGCTGAT